AGTTATTCAATATCAATACAAATTACCAAGATATCCATTTACTTATAGTTAAATGCACATGCCTCTGTATTTTTACTTTTCCGGCATAGCACCTCTTAAAATTTGTCTCGTGCTGCATTGCACGGGGGAATACAACATTTTTTAATTAGAATTCTACTAAAATTAACCTAAACACTAAATTCGTAACACTATTTTCGGCGGCTGTTTAACACTCAGATATTGTGGAGAATACTGTTTGGAAGATAAGATTTTTGCATTTAGTTATGGACTGCTCTACCTGCTGTTAGTGATATTGTAATTTTAAGCATCAAAAGATTTTAAAGGAAAATTTAAGGTGGGAGTTTTCAAACAAGTGTAAAAGTTTGGGAAAGCCAGGCATTCCAAACAGATATTTTATGCATGAATTAACAAGAGAGTATGAACATTTTAGAGGATTTTTGACGAATTGTGGATTATTGAAGGGTAAAACTTGTTGTGAAAAATGTAAGATATCTTTGCATGATATCTTACATTTGGGAAAGCCAAGCAAAGGTGAGATTTTCTGCCATTGTTTTTAAAATTACATATTTAATCATTTTCATTAATCATTTCTTAATATTTTTTCTTTTAAAAATCGTGTAAAATAGTCGTAAATTTATTTCTATTATCCACGATTTCTGGCAAAATCAAGATAACCGCCATTTTTGAAAAACGAGTTTCGTCAACAATCTCGATGGTAACCATTTTTCAAAACAACACTTTGGTACCAAAAAGAATTTCGTAAAACAGTGAAGATGGGCTTTACTGAAGCTGTTCCAAAAAAAGAAACCAGAAAAGTGTAAACTGAATTTTACAGAAAAAAAACTGATACACATTTAAATATAAAGAAACAATTATACAGGATATAGCTATCATGAAAAAATATTAAAGAAGAGAAATGAAACTAATCTTAAAATAATTATAAGAACATTTTTGGGAGAAAGTGCAGAATCACCCACTGCTTGGCACGTTTTTAAAGAATTGCACATACTCGGTATCCATGTACACGTCGACCTATTTTCACTTAAAAAAAAATCCAGAATTGCACAAAAATGGCATTGTGCACACACGCTTGACTTTATCCATGTATACATCGACCTATTTTCACTTAAAAAGGTCAAAGAAAATTGACAAAAATCCAATTCTTCTAAGTCTTGTAAAAAGTGGCAAACAAATAAGTACGTGATTCTGCACTTAAGCCCATTTTGCTCAGTACTTACGAAACTTCCGTACTTTCCAAAAGACCTAGCTAAAAAGCTACCAAGTATGGCATTTATTAACTTATGGTAAAGTGCATCACCCACTCATATGCCGCATATGGATGTGTACATGGAGAAAATTAAGGGAGTACGGAATGCCAAGTTTGTGTAATTCTCTGAAGTTTTTTTTAAGTGAAAATAGGTCAATGTGTACATGGATACCGAGTTTGTGCAATTCTCCGACTTGTTATTTTCAGTTGGCAATTTGAGAAACGTGCGATGCAGTTTTGTGATTCTGCACTTCCCTTAACTTTATTTTTAAAATATGTGCTTTATAGTACTTGTTATTTTATTTTTCAGAGCCAAAACATTCCTAAGTTTCCAAAATAGAAAAAAAAATTCATCTTATAATATGACAGCAGAAAATACAAATGAATTATTTTAACTTTCATTCACTTATACATGAAAAAAATATGAAAGTTTTCAAAATAAATATCTATTATGCATATATTTCTTACCTGCAGAGAAATGATGTTTCCCAAATTCCTTCGTATATGCACTACAAACTTGAGATTGTTCAACTTAGTACGGCCAGGATTTGACTGAAAATGTCAGACATTTTATTTCGTCTTTCTAACATTGCTATGGAACACTGCACCGACAAATTTGGGTGCTACTTTGGTAGACGGTTGCACGGATTTTGGTGCTTTTTTGGCGAATGATACGACTTATGATAAACCCATTGCTAAACAAGTTATTTATGGTAACCAAAACTTTGTTGTGATTTAATTTAAAAAATAATACATTTTATTATGCATAAATTCCGTGTTTTAAATATTATTTATGACTTCTAAATAATAAAAATGAATTTAATTTTGTATTTTTACTTTAAATAAAAATTTTATTGTTTATATTTTATGGAATTTTATGTTGTGAATGATGTAATGAAATGACGTCACAAAGTTTTAAAAGTAATTGGTTTTAATATCTATAAATTTAATCTAATGTTTCAAACATTATTTATCTCTATTAAATATTAAATATATGCTGTTAATTTTGCATTTTTAAATATGATTTTATTATGAATGATTATTTTAAATAATTTTAATTCTAGGCATGATGTAATCAGCTTCCTGTTTGGTTACTGAATATTTGTGCATTACCACGCCATTTTAAAATTTTATTTTCATCCCTTCAAAATTCCTCAGATTTCAAGCGAAGGATGTTCTCCGTTTTGAAATAAATGTTGTTATTGATTACTAAGAATTATTGTTATCGGCAAAAAAAATTGTCGTTTGAGACCTTATTTTGGCCAACTTGGATTTCCCTAATCAAAAGATTTATTTTATTTACAAGGGTCAGAGGAAATTTACATAAAATTTTTTGAGGAAACCTCGCTAATTGCCTTCTTTAATGAAGTGCGAGATATGGGGATAACAGATGAAATAGTTTTTTTTTTTGGTACTTATCAATATACGTAAGGTAAAAATGCTTAAAAAAAAATGTAAGTCATATTTTTCTTTTACTTTATTATTGTATACTTCAATTTTTATTAAAAAATTAATACACTTTTTTAAAAAATTCCTGAGATATTTATTGCCACATATGTTAAATAATTATATTTAATTAATAAATTGGTTGATCTTTACAATATGGTAACTGGTAGTTTGGCAAAATTTTGGAGGCGATAAAGGTTACTACCTGGCCATTTGGTAATAATGTACGCAGTACTCAGTTCCGATTACGCATTATTTTGTGTGAGGGAAATGAGAGATCATGGGATATGTCATGTGATATTAATGGACGAATTACGGTTCTTTAATCGGAAAAGGGGGGAAATCGGAAAAAATCTGAAATTTTGTATTTGGCTTTATTCTGTGTTGTGTAAACAGTGTTCGTTGAATTTTGGATCCCATGGCCGTAACTAAAGTGAATTCGAAATGGGTATTTATGTATGTATTAATTTAATGTATGTGCTCATTTATATTTTAAGTAGTGTTTTTGAATTTAATTATATTTTAATTAAATGATAGTTATTTGTGAATTTTATGTTTGTAGGAATTTGGTATACGTTTTCAGTTGAAGTAAACGTGCATGGAAATAATTTAAATATCTGACATAAGTATTGTAATGGCTTGCGGTATGAATTCGTTGGTGACGTGTATAATGTAATAGATGATTTAGAGGATTTTGGATATTTTATTTATTTTATATGTGGAAATGTTAATTACTTTTTCACGATCAGGTAATTTCATATATGTTCTTTTTACCGGGTTTAAAGATTGAGAAAATTGTCATGTATTTTCGTGAAATTTTTCTAATTTATGAGAAAAAAGCAGTGTACATGGATATAGTGAAGGGTGTGCGAAATGCCATTATTGTGCAATTCTGGGATGTTTTTTTAAGTAAAAATAAGTCTGCGTGTACATGGTTTAGTGATATTTTAATTAAATGATAATGGTTCATCACTTAATAAAATGGTTCATCACTTAATTTTCATCAAATGAAAATTTCCGTTTCTTCTACATGTTCACCAGTATGTTTTATGCTATTCCAATTTGCCTATCCGACTTTTGCTGTACCTAAAATCAGTCAACAGGTGAGCAAAATCTAGATATGACCTCAAATGAGATTTTCTAGCTGCGCAAACAAATGTTTCCTGCAAAAGTAAGTAAAAGTTGTTTCTAACATATGTTCAAAACACTGGTGGCATTTCTTCTGTGTAGATAAGACATACATTCTCCTTATCGCTCTACTAAATGGCTTGTTACATACGTTAACTCATAACATTTTCCTCTTATGTTTATATCCATATTTAAATCCCGTTTATGAAAACAAATGAATATTTACGTACCACACACACAAATTTTCCCTCCTGTGTGCATACACATATGGCTGTTTAAATGAGCTTTTTGATTAAATAACTTCTTACATACTTCACAAATGTGAGGTTTCTTTCCTGTGTGAATATGCATATGCATGTTTAAATTAGGTTTTTGATTAAATTATTTCTTACATACTTCACACATACAGTCAAAAGTCGTTAATCTGGACTCATCGGGACTTCGGCGATTCCGGATTATTGATCATCAGTATAAATCTGGTAAGATGGCATGCAGAAATTACAAAATTAAAAATATGAAACCGTAATTTATGAAATAAAGAACAATTATGATCTAAAGGGTATCAAAATTTACAAAAAGAAAAAACTTAATATTTATTTGTTTACTTTATTAAACATTTCTTCATGTAAGATGCTTCGTTTCATGTGATAATACTTTCTCTTTAATTCTATTTAAACAGACATAATTTCTGTTTAGTTACAAAGTTCCGCTGTTCAAGTCCTATAATTGCTGTGTTGAGAATACCGACTAATTTTGTCAATCGAAATGTTTTCGTTTTCAATAACCTCTGGGTCTCTTTCTTCACTATCGGAAGCGAATTATAATGACGAGGAACTTGATTTAAATCATATCAAAGACGGAGTACATCGAGATGAAATACTACTTTAGTAAGAATTATAAGCCAAATAAAATAAAAACATCTGCCCTGAAGATAAGGATAGTGCTGACAGATCAACTTCCAATCCGCGGCGTGAAATTGATAAACAGATTTCGGATTTCAAAACATACTTTCGCTTTGTAGATACAAATTACATATTACTAAATATATATCGGAAATTCTATTTAACATAATCGAAAGTTCAAGCTTACTTTTATGAAATTGCTCTAACAGTTTGCAAAAAATAATAAGCCGGATCCAATTCGTAGATTAAGGAACAACGCAATCTGCAACATTAACTGAATTAGATAATTTTAGCTTACCTCCGTTACACATTACACGCACATGCGCACAAACATATTCGCAGCCGTAAAAGTCTTACGCGCACTCGTAAACGCCTGTGCGCGTGCATGAACGCAACGCAGGCGCAGAAAGTTTGTAGCTTTGAGGTCCGGATTATAGATCATTCCCGATTATGGGTGTCCGAATTTACTACTTTTGACTGTATAAGGTTTCTCACCTGTGTGAATATGCATGTGCTTATTTAAAATATCCTTTTTACTAAACGTCTTTTTACATACTTCACACATATAAGGTTTCTCTCCTGTGTGCATACATATATGGCTGTTTAAATTAGCTTTTTGATTAAATGACTTCTTACATACTTCACAAATGTAAGGTTTCTTTCCTGTGTGAATACACATATGCTTGTTTAAATTAGGTTTTTGATTAAATGATTTCTTACATACTTCACACATATAAGGTTTCTCACCTGTGTGAATATGCTTATGCTTATTTAAACTATCCTTTTTACTAAATGTCTTTTTACATACTTCACACATATAAGGTTTCTCTCCTGTGTGAGTACGCATATGCACGTTTAAATGATCTTTTCGATTAAATGATTTCTTACATACTTCACACATATAAGATTTCACTCCTGTGTGAATAAGCATATGATTATTTAAACTACCCCATTCACTAAATGTCTTCTTACACACTTCACACATATAAGGTTTCTCACCTGTGTGAATAAGCATATGCTTCTTTAAATTACTCTTTACACTAAATGTCTTCTTACATACTTCACACATATAAGGTTTCTCTCCTGTGTGAATACGCATATGCATGTTTAAATTAGGTTTTTGATTAAATGATTTCTTACATACTTCACACATATAAGGTTTCTCACCTGTGTGAATATGCTTATGCTTATTTAAACTACCCCATTCACTAAATGTCTTCTTACACACTTCACACATATAAGGTTTCTCACCTGTGTGAATAAGCATATGCTTCTTTAAATTACTCTTTACACTAAATGTCTTCTTACATACTTCACACATATAGGGTTTCTCTCCTGTGTGAATACGCATATGCATGTTTAAATTAGGTTTTCGATTAAATGATTTCTTACACACTTCACACATATAACGTTTCTCATCTGTGTGAATAAGCATATGCGTATTTAAACTAGCTTTTTCACTAAATATCTTCTTACATGCTTCAGACATATAAGGTTTCCCTCCTGTGTGAATATGCATATGCATGCTTAAATTACCTCTTTGATTAAATGATGTCTTACACACTTCACACATATAAGGTTTCTCATTTGTGTGAATAAGCATATGCGTGTTTAAATTACTCTTTACTCTAAACGTCTTCTTACATACTTCACACATATAAGGTTTCTCTCCTGTGTGAATATGCATATGCTTATTTAAACTATCCTTTTTATTAAATGTCTTTTTACATACTTCACACATATAAGGTCTCTCACCTGTGTGAATAAGCATATGCTTATTTAAACTGCCTTTTTCACTAAAGGTCTTCTTACATACTTCACACATATAAGGTTTCTCTCCTTTGTGAATACGCATATGTATGTTTAAATAAGATTTTCGATTGAATGGTTTCTTACATACTTCACATATATAAGGTTCTTCACCTGTGTGAATAAGCATATGCCTATTTAAACTGCCGTTTGCACTAAAAGTCTTCTTACATACTTCACAAATGTGAGATTTCTTTCCTGTGTGAATACACATATGCATGTTTAAATTAGGTTTTTGATTAAAGGATTTCTTACATACTTCACACATATAAGGTTTCTCACCTGTGTGAATACGCATATGCTTATTTAAACTATCCTTTTTGCTAAACGTCTTTTTACATACTTCACACATATAAGGTTTCTCACCTGTGTGAGTACGCATATGCATGTTTAAATTAACTTTTTGATTAAATGATTTCTTACATACTTCACACATATAAGGCTCCTCTCCTGTGTGAATACGCATATGCATGTTTAAATTCGCCTTTATACTAAATGTTTTCTTGCATACTTCACACATGTGAGGTTTCTCTCCTGTGTGAATATGCATTTGCATATTTCAATGAGTTTTTTGATTAAATGATTTCTTATATATGCTTATATATTTTACACATGTAAGTTTATTTCCTATGTGAATAAGCATATATTTTAATGAGCTTTTTGCTTAAATGACTTTAAATGATTTTTGATTGATTTAAATGAATAGATACTTCACACCTCGTTGCTTCTCTCCTGTGTGAATAAGCATATACTTGTTTAAACTTTTGCTTGAATGACTGATTACATTCCTCACAGATATGAAATTTCTTATCTATATGGGTATCCATAAGCTATTATTACATACTTTTGCTTTCAAAAGATAGGTTGCATACACCTAGACACGAAGGTCCTTTCTGATAATAAGAACTACAAACTTGTTACATAAATATCATGTTTTTGCTCTGCATGGATGCAAAACAGGATAGTTAACTGAATTCCACCCCAAATAACTTCTTTAAATTGCACAATTATTTTCATTGGCTATTTATTTCACACAATTATTTATTTCTTGGATTCATTTCCAGGCACACTTCAGTAAAAAATCAATTTGTTACATTACACGGAATCACGATTTTTCGCTCAAAAGGCTGCATCAGTCGATGCTGTGTTTACTTCTCTTATTCTTGGACACGCCTTTTTATGACGTAATATTGGTTACGCCTCTTCTTAAAAACAAGTTATAAGTATGCTATAGATTCAAATTTAGAGAAAACTTAAATTATATTTTAACTGAGTTAAAATGGTAGGTTTATAATGTTCTGCGAGAGATTTTTTTAATTATAAATCTACTTTTGTGTGGTAGTGTTAGCATTTGTTGTGAAATGAACTGAACCGGCGCGAGGCGCTGCTGTTTGTGACGTCAGGATGCGTGCTGAGTGTTTGGAATGTTTTGCTTGTAGACTAAGGCTACTATAAAGGGCTCTATTGTAGAGTGTCTGTAGTAGCTCTATTGTAGACAAACGAAAGCTGATCTCGGAAGAGTGATACTGTTTTGATGGAAATAAAGAATGACTTATTAAGAATTTTTTGTCTTTATTCATTATGCACCCAGCCTCGGGTAGAGGCAGGCCCGCAACTGAACGAACTGTTTTGAATATATTTGATTTAGATATTTTCTGTGTTCTTCGTAACATAGTGGTACCCTCGGCGGGACCGGGTGCTTTGAATTAGAATTTTCCGAATGAACTTTTGATATTGAATTTCGATTTTGAATATACTTTGAAGATGGGTTTGATCGCTTAAGGGGCGAATTCAAGTGCAACGCTCTGATAAATTGCAAATGTTAGCTCGCAAGAGGCGTTCCTGCTATCGGCTGCTAAAGTCGAATTCAAGTGCAACGCTTTACCGCTCTGGTAACTGATGACGTCAAAATTGCAATGGGGAGCTGGTTTGCTCTCGTGCCAGGAGAGCTTGTCCGATAAACTACATCAATATCCAATGAGACTGCGTGTCGATGTAAACAAAAAACATCAGTTCCCATGATTCTTCTGAGCTTATGGTCAAGTGTTTACTGCGTTGTAGTGTGGTGTAACGAAGTGTTTCAGTCCTGAAAACGAAGGAAATATACAGACATGTAATGTAATGTGTACAACTTTATTTACTTTATCCTATAGATTCCCTCCAAAGTAATCTAGAGCAACAGGTGTGTGTAAAATATATTTTACTTTTCAGACAAAAATACTTGCTTTTTTAAATATAAACCACAATTTTTCCCATTTTCAAATTACAGCATTTGGTTTTTATTCTTCTAATAGTAAGTTTAATTTTAAAATTCAAATTTGTGTTATATTTTTATTGTTCAATGCAGATGCATGATTCTTCAGTGACAGTAGGCATGTTTACCATATGAAAATTTAACTAGTTCTTGAATTATATAGTAATTAATAAGCCCATCTATCTACAAGCAGATAAGCCTGCTGAACACTGCTATCCCAGTCTCTTTTTAAAATCCAGGTGAAAAAGCTAGCTGCATGAGTGTTTTGTTCATTTTTTCAATGTATTAATGCTTTTGTGTTCTGCTCATTATATTGTGCATTTACAGTACACTTTCTGCTTCTTAAGTGAAAGTTTGGACCCATTCTCATTTGATATCAGTTATGTTCAGATTTATTTATTTCATAAAATTTCAAAAAAACAATTTTTGCTATTAAAAGCTACAAGTGCAGAAACAAAAGCTTAATTTCTTTACTGTAACTGTGTCATGCTTCTCTGCTGATAATGAAAGTCGTCTTTTAATAAGATTTCTTTCATTTGCATATATTAATTATATCTTTTACCATACTGGTTGCCATCTTTCATTGTGCATTCTTCAATATTTTTTGGTACTTACGTATTAACACAAACACCTGGATCAGTTTGGTGGTCTTTATAAATGAAAAGAGAAAAATACTTATCAGGAGAAGTACGTTGTTTTTGCAGCTTGCTTTTAGCATAACCAAACTATCAATATTTATCTAAGTTGGCAAAATGTTATCAACATATCAAAGGAAAAAACATTTAACAAATTTTAAAATACTAATTTGAATTATTAAATAAAAATTATATGATAGTTTTAAAAAAAACATTTTCCACAAATTTTTTGTCTAATTTTTTAGCACTTGTGCCAAGTGATCTGTTTTTCACTAAAAAAAAAAAAATCAGAGAATTACATAAACTTGATACTGCATGCCTTGTCTATGTACCAAATTCATCTCATAGTTGTTTCCATTAGAAATTTTTGTACTAAAATGTTCTATTCCTGCAGAACTTTTAACACAGCTTCGTCTTTTGATGGTAAGCTCCACAAGCAGTATTTTAAATCTGAAATTAATCTAAAACAACTATTCGTATCTAAAATCCATTGGAACTTGAAATACAACATAAGAAACACATATGAAAATGGTGACATTGCTTGAATGAAAAATTGTCATGAGCATGTTACCTGAAAAATTTTGATGCATAATCATTGCCAGAGTTTGGCACATTTTTGAAAATTTGGTAACTTTTATTAAGGTGGTTTCAATAATATGCAAATATCTTTTATTCTTATGATTGCTTCATTGTATACTTTTTCCCTTTCCCTAGAGTGCAGCACAATACCACAAGTTTTCCAGCCAAATGCGGTATGCATTTCAAGTTTCTATACATTTATATAAATTTTAAGAGAGTAAAATATTGACAAAAACTGCATTAAGTTTTCAACTCTTGTTTTGTTTTTCATTAAAAATTTGCTACCATTATGTATAATTCATTTTTTTTAATGTAAATGTTTTTAAGTATTTGTAGGATAAAGGCAAATTACACTTATTCATTCTTTCTTTGATATAATACATGTAGCTCTTTACCTGAAATCAATGTTTGTCAAATTATTGTGCATAAATTAGAAGTATGCATGTTTCTCTTAAGTCAGTTATGTTTCAGGAACTATCTTTAATGAATTGTATAGAAAATTGTGGACGAGGTGTTAGGTGTACAGGAACGTGGTATATTATAAACATGTATAGTATCTCATAGTATATAAACTCATAACTTTGATTATGCAGTATGCTTTGTATATTATTTCTGAAAGCATGTATATTTCAATCAAGATTGTTGAGGTTAATTGTGCTTCTTTTATGCTGTCTCTGAAAGCATGTATATTTCAGTCAAGATTGTTGAGCAAATTGTGCTTATTTTATGCTTTTTTCTTTTTTACATTAGAAAATTCCACACCTTTATCACGAGGAAATCTGCAATGGCATTTAGGAATGACAAGTTTGTATCTATTACATAAAATCTAATGTTTTCTGGATTTCTTTTTTTTTTCTTTTCCTCCCAACAGAAAAACTTTAATGGTATAAATCAGCGGTTTTCAACCTTTTGACTATAGTGTACCATCTAAGCAAAAACTGAAAAACATTAATACCACCACTAATTTTACAATCCTTATGATTTTTATTTTTCAATTCCTCAATAGAAATATATAAATATATTAAATACATATATATATTGCCATTTGCACACTCTTTGTTATTAAATATGTACACATAAAAAACTATTAGATTAAAAACTGATGATTACTTAATTATCAAATTAATTAATTTAATTAAATTAATTATTCACTTGATTATCAAAATTTCAGTTATAATACTTTAATATTTAATTTCTTTATGTCTGCTCTTATTTCATTTAATGGTAAATTAGGATCCACTTTTTATTTTTGGTGAGTATTTATATTTCAAATTTAACATGGAAAAAATCATTTTTCACACAAACAGGTTGTGCGAAAAGACAATACAAATTTGATAGCTTTATTTGAAATGCCTTTAAATTCTTTTTTTCGGTTCAGCCAAAAGTTAACAAGTGTGTCATTTTCCAAATCTTCAAGTCAATTTCGATCAAAGGAAATTTCTATTAACTATTCTTTTCTTTATGAGATTTTTGAATTTAATAGTTAAAAATACTTTGTTTCTTTGCATACCACCGGCTGAGAACCGCTGGTATAAATTAATTATAACAGATGTAAATTAATATTTCTCATACAAAAGAGTTATTTCAATTCTTTATTGCGAACATTATATACAGAGTATGTCTTTTATTAACAAACGATTTTAAGAATTTAAAATAATAATCATTAAATCCTCTTGATCTATAAACAGTCTTAAAAATTATAAAGGGAAAAAAATTGAAAGTTAAGTTAAAGAAATCAATATTATGAATTGTTCCTTTTTAGAGAAGTTTCATTGTTTAATTAATTATAAAAAGTGTTTTACATTATGAAATATAAAAATTAAGAATATTTGAATTTGAATGAATATTTTAAAATTTTCCCTCAGATAGAAGCTCAACTATTCGAAGCAGGAGACCGAAGAGAAAAAAGGAAGAGAGATGATATTACAGCTGCAGAAAAGGAAATAATTGAAACGCAGAAGAAGAATATATTAATGTACTGTGTGAAATATGTGACTTGTATAAGCAATCAGTTGCAAATCAGTCTGCTGTCATAGAAAATCAAAATATAATTATTAATTTATTAAAAAAATAAATCGTGCATTTCAAATATTACAGTGTTTTCATTCTTTTATGTATTTCTGCAGTGTGGGATTCATATTTTAATTGTAAAATTTACTACTTTCTTAATTTTATTAAATTTTGTGATTATGAAAATTATTTAAAAGAAATTCACAGATCCATTATATGACATAAACATTATAATAATTTTAATACCACTATTATAAGTCTCGTGAAAATATTTATGCATTTTACACAGCAATTATCTTTTTCCTGGAGGAAATGGGAATAAGACCTGTAAGAATCTAGTCAATGTATTACAAATTTTAATTTTCAGATATAACATGAAATGAATTAAATTGTTTTTCAATTATGTTAATAAGTTATATGAATGAGATGTGGTATTAAAAATTTCATTTCTTTTTATCATTGAAGAAATAACATTCGATATCCTACAGCTCCATAACAATGGCAGATAAAATTGGCATTCTAATTTCGAAGTTCTAAAAATACAGAGATGACAACTATTAAAGTATGGCTAATGTCTAGTTTACAATAACAATGTTGAGTCGCCTACTACAAAATTAAGTGAATCAAACTGTATTTATTTTCCCCCTTCTCTTTTT